GAAAACTTTTTTTCCAAATCGAAAAATAGATTGACACGGCATTCGTGGTAATCAGGTCGCGCATTTTTCCGCGGTGTATCAATTAACGGAACTTGTTTTTCTCTCTCATTCTGATTTTCTCTCTCTTTCTTTTTCGTTGCGCTTATTTCTCTCTACTCGGTTACCTTCCCCGGAGATGGAATTGCACTCTCTGCGGGAAACGATACACTTAAGATGCGCGATCACTCTAAAATGTCAAGTATCGCATAACTGAGACTTATGAGAGATCCGTGACGTTTCTCAATGGAATACCAACTAGATGAGATCAAAACGAGCTCCGCGTCTCTCGTAATGACGTAACGCGCGTAACAACAGATGAGTCACTGATATATCATTCCGTATTCACATTTCTTCTAGCGGACTTGTATTTCATGTATGACTGAAAGTACTACAAAGTACAACGGTGCAAAAAAAGTTGAGAATGATTCTTTTGAACTCGCAATGCGGATACACTACAACGCGCGGCGCTTCAATATTGTTAAGAAAGAACAAGCATAAGAGAGGAGAGCTACACAAAACTTTTTACAAGTCTCCGCGCGTTTGGCGTCATTAGTTAAATAATTTTTCATCATGAAAGTTTAAGAAAAGAAGAAGATTTATATTGCGCCTGTCGCGCGCACAGATTTCGCTCTGAGTCATAAATCCACTTCACGTTCTCTGAATTCTTAAATCCGCAATGGTAAACTACAGTCGTACGTATATCAATTAATGTCGCTTGTGCAAGACCGTATTTTTCGATCTGAACGTTCTGCTTTGAAATTCCTCGAGTTCAGCAATGACTTTCGCGCGTTGTATTTCTAGTACGATGACTTTCGAGAACATCAAATAAAAACGTCGCGTACATCCGTATGCGAAGACTCCACTCGCGGCTAAAAGTTAATGGGGACGAAAACTTCAAAGCTATTCTAAGACCAGATACTGTCTGTGCAAGGTCGCTCGTCGACAACGAAACCAATTTTAATCCTGTCTGTGTCGCGAGAGAAAGAAAAAGAGAGAAAAAGACAGAGACAGACACACGTGGTTTAGGAATATATTTTTTGTGTTACATGACCCGAAGGAACCCTGAATATTTATAAATGCCGCATGTGAGTTCCAGGAATATCGGCAGACTTGATGACAAAGTTATCTAACTGACATTTAACTATAAAGTGAGACGTCACATCGCACAAACGCGCGTTATCAACGCACACACAAGCTCGTGAAGCACTTTCGGTGCTTCACACGAACATCCGGGATCCTGAGATTCCCGGAGAATTATGGTACATCAGTCGCAGGATCTGGATCCTCGCCAGGATACTGACATAAATTCAAATCAGTGAACTACTACTCAGCAATATATTTAATGCCGCATATTTCAAAACTCTCTACATTTCTGCGTTTGGTATATTTTATCGTTCGCTTGATTTTGTGTATTTGTTTTACACAAGCTGTTATAATGCGAAATAAATGCAGAAAAAATATATTTTTACGTATGTGCATTTAACAGTTTTTCGTTTTTACATATCTCTCATACGCGTAAATTTCCATCTTTTTTTTAATTCACTTTACTTTTAATTTACTCTTTCAATTTATATGTTTCATATCTTCTTTCTCGGTTATTTCAAACTCCATGCAATATTTTCACGCGTAATTATTTTGTACTACTGTAATAAATTGTACGTCACTCTTTGGAATTGCTCAGGAAAGATTTTATCTCTTGTGTCAGAGACACAAATATTTTTTGTCAACGCTTAATGTTTTGTCCACGCCTCATTTGTATGTTATTGCGCAAAATAGAGATGGCCCAAAATACCGGCAGTGCGGGTGCATTATCATACTAACAGAATAGTCGTGTCGTATCCACAATGTCCTTCATTTAGTCTCGAGAAGAACAATGACTTGACCTATATCTCTCCTGTCCTTGTAAGGAACCCGTTTTAACTACTCACGAACTTTTTGCTGTACATCCGAATCCGTGCACATCCGCAAAGAAATGGAGAGGAACGTAACATATACCGCTATTAATCAAATGAAATACTCGCGCGACGTACGACGGTAAAACGACAATGTTGTTTAATTTATGCACACACGTAGTGTGCAGAGATAATATCCATTTTTCGCCCCGGAAAGTCTCGTCCTCCTTCCAACAATGACATAGGAAATGAACCTAAAACCGTTTAGCGCAAACTCGAATAGAAGCGACTCGAAATTCATCGAAAGCTGGCATTATTGAAATTGCAACGTCTATATCGAGGTAGATGGTATTGTTCCATTCAGGCGTTCTATTAGTTAGACGGTCTTACATCGAAGCGTATAGTTTGCCGAATGTCAGAAATTGAATTTTCGCTGTAATAACGTGCGACTGGTTCACAAAACGAGCGTGTTTGCGGACCGTCAAAAATTTACTGGACAGTTTGACGAGAAAATAGAATTGTTCGTGATCACGCTAGATACATAATAATTTACCGTGAACTTGAATACGATCCGATATTATTTTGAACAAAGATCCAGTCTTTTTAGATTAAACTTTCACTTTACTTCACTTATACTAGCATATGTGTCATTCAATTACTAGAAGCAACGGAGCGTCGTGTTCTTCTTTGCTAGCTCGTTGGAATTTTGCGGGAAAATATTTTATTTTAAGCCCGGGAAAAATGTTAAAAATCGATTGAGCATGTTATAAATATATATGAGGTCAAAGCGAAGGTCTTAAAACTTTAAAAGTGTATTGACTTTAAATTTCATTTAATTATATGTGATATAGAAATTATATAATATTTTTGTGTTTTTAATTATCTGTCAACTTGTACACTTCTGTGTTTGTTGTAATTTTTATCTTAATTTATTTTCAAAGTGACAAGACCACGATGCTTTGTTGCGCGCGTGCAGTAATTATTTTTCTCAAGAACAACACGGAAATAGTGTTATCGGTGTACCATGTGCTATATTTAATGCATCACAGCAATATAAGCTCGTATGTTTGCTAGGAGAGAGATGCTGGGGATATGGCGTACATTCGTCACTTGTGTTGAGAGTGGAGACATATGTTGTTAGATTGAACCACTAATTCTGAAACAAACACATGTCTCATACACGTTTATGATGTGCCTCAGAGGTTGCAAATAACGTGTGCATTTACCGTGTGTGCTAGTGTTTACTATTAAAATAATATAATTTTATGTGTCATGCTATGTCTAGCGTTGACATAAATGTTCTTGAGAAAAACATAAAATTATCAGATAATATAAATAACAATTAAATTTTCATTAGAACAAAGATTTTCATATCTCTTGTACAAAGACTTGACTATACAATAATATCGAATGGTTTTGCATTCCGTGAGATATATCAGAAATTTATAGTGTTTTAATGAACACATACGTGTAAGGTTAATTGATGCTGAGAGACGCACGCGTATTGCAGATACAATCTGCGCAGGGAGGACGCGCGTAGGACACGCATTAGATGCACGCGGTTTGGTTTTTATCTCGTAACCGCACACGATAGCCGAAAGAACGATAACTTTTAGCGTGGAAACGGATGGTTATATTAGCGTTTAATATTATAGTGGTTTAATATATTTGAGACTTTACGCGCAAATCACCCAAGTGTTATATATCTTCTGCAGATTTTGCAATGACAAAATATCAATATTTATTCACTCATATTTCGTCATGTTGCAAATACGTTAAATGATGTATTTGTTTGTTTGTGTTTATCATTATTATATTTTCTGTATACGTTTAAATTCCTGTGTACGTTTATTTTTCTTGGAGAAAAAACTTTAAAAAAAATAAATTATGTATATTTCCTCATTTTTCCATTAATTAGGAAAAAGGAATTAGCTCAACACAAGTCTCTCTTACATGAAAAGATAGATAAGTACTCTTCTTTAGCAATTTTCAGAGAAACATCAGACTTTTCCAAGGAAAGATAACTGTTTTTTTTTAATATGTAAACATTACGTCAAGATTAAAAATAGTTTGTCTATTTTCTCTGTAAAAATACGAACGTTACTAACGTATCGCGTTACTTGAAAAATACATGCCTCGTTTACGTAGTATTATTACCGTATCGTGTTTCTGCAAAAAAAAACCGAATTATTCAGAGCAATTGCATTTTCAATTATACTTTTTATATAATCACTGTTCATGTTAAAGAAGATTAAAAGAGAATTATTTCTCTTCAAAAAAAATAAAAGATATATTTCATATAAATTTTTAAGATTAACTTGATCTTTTAATAATGTTTAACTAAGCTGTTGAAAAATTATAAATATATTATTAAATTTATTATATCGAGCGATTTTGTCAAGCATAAATATAATCACCAATTATTACGAAAAATTACGTACTTTGATAATAATCGTATAACTTGACTTACAAAAAGAAAGAGAAGTATATATATATAAGTTCTGAAAAACCTGCAAGAAGGATTTTCTTTATACGGAAAAGCAGTCTGAATTCTACTCACGTATATTGCTTGAATTGTGATCTTTCATCTCTCTACCAGATGTATTTGCATTACAAGAGTTCCCGTGCAACGGTCGTACTCGGAACGAAAGTGCAGTGCCGCTAAAGGCGTTGCGTGTCCTTAGGAAGGCACGCATACGTGTCAAAGAGTTCGTGAGTAGTGGTAGCGCACGAAGAAGGAAAATAGATTCGCATCGAAAACTACTACTACTAGCGTTGATACGCTCGCTCGTGTCAAAGTGGGAGAAAAGCGTGAATGCGTTGTATATATTGTCAGAGCTATCGCGCTTACGCGAGTAGTACGCGGGGTAACGCTTGAAGACGAACGCGCGCAATTTATCAATCCGACCTAATCCCACACGTGTCGAGTGTTAAAACCACCCGATATCGCGCTTTAAAGTAACTAACGCCTCTTCTTCCAATACTCGTCGAACGTGAACTCCATGCATGGAGAAACACTAAGCGCAAAGTGCCGCAGGTGCGGCCCATACTGTATGTCAACATACTCACCTCTCTGTACCTTCTGGTTGCGGTCAAGCTGGAGGAGGCGGTTAACATGCGACTCATCTCGCACCACCTCACGACGAGTATTGCTCGACACGATACCGCTGCCATTTCGTCGCTGTCACCGAAAAACGGAGCACCGTGTATACAAATACGTTTAACGTGACGCGATCACTCGCGCAATTTCGGCTCTTCTCTCACAGAGACAACGAACCACCACCTACGTCTATCCAGCACCGTCACGAAGACCAACGACCGGCTTCGAGCGACTGCTACCCGCGAACGCGACGGGCGGCATAGCGCGCGCCGGCTCGTCCCCGCGCGCCCAAGACCGCGACCTTGCAGCGGCTGCTTTCCACGTGACATGCGCGCCGCGTTGCGCTCTCTACGCGCATTGGTCTGTTGGTGTTAATCGCGGCACTTTCGGAACACTTCAAAGCAAGGAGAATATCTCTTTTTATGAGAATTTCTGCAGATCTTGTTATCGCAGCCATGCTCAAACTTTTATATACTTTTTCAAGTGTTCGTGTAACACTTTCTCTCGTTTTTCATGCAACAAGAAATAAACATGATGTATACATAAAAAAAAAATGTTCTATATGTGAAATCTGCTCGACTCAATAAAACATCGAATAATCGAACCACATTCTTTACGTCGTTCAAGTCTCTTCTCTTGTTTTTTTCCAACCTTAGAAATCACTTTTACAAAATGCGTGGAATTTTGAATTACGCGATCACGACGAACGATATGATAACGTGACACACCGAAGAGAGAAAGATTCATCTTCTTTCAAAGAAAAGATGTCATCCGTGTCATCTAGAGACTATTTTTACGCCGAGAACTATTATGATTACGCAATTCAACCTCGTCTGTTCAACAATTATACCGCAATTACAGCGACACAATTTCACTGGCACTCACAGACTCGTCTCGTCTTGACGATCCTGCTACGCGTCGGCTTCGTCCTCGTGCAGATCGGCAGCGTGCCGGCCAACAACGTCAACTTAATCCTTCTTCAAAATGTTGTTGACCTCAGTTGCGTCACCGTCATGTACTTTCTCACGGGTTATCTCATCGCCTATAACGGCGATATCGCCGGTCTGATCGGCGAAGGCTATTGGATTGGCGATCCAACGGTTGATAAGAGCGAAGCAATCATCGGCTGGCAAGCGGTGGTGATCGCGTCGGCGATTTGCACCACCGCTGTGGCGGGCAGGATGCACACGGCCGGATACCTGCTGATGGGTGCTGTCTTATCAGGTCTCGTGCAACCGTTGCTAATCCACTGGGCCTGGACCGAAAACGGATGGATGGCGGAAAACGAGTTGAGTGGGAAGATGGTAACTTTCAAGGATCACGCTGGCGCGGGGGTGGTTCACGTTGTCGGAGGACTTTCTGGCCTGATTGGATGCGTTGTTCTCGGCAGGAGGATATTCAAATTAAGAGATCTGGATGACGCGAGCATCACCTCGAGCTCCGCTGGAACCGTTTTCGGCGGTCTGCTATTGATCTTCGTAGGGCTTCAAGTAAAAATAACTTTCACACAATAGAAATAGTTTTTTATTTATATATGATATAGAATAATAAATAATTTAATGTAAATTTAAGTTGGAAAGGAAGAAAATCAAAATTGTTTTCGATATATACCGCACAAGAATGGAAAATATAAATAAAAATATGTATATTAGCGATGTAAAAGAAATTAGACTTTAAAATATTGTTAACGCTATTTTTCTCAATTTCATATTAATAAGAATATAGTATTGTGTCTTTTTATAGGGTTTGTGCATGAATACAACATATACGTACGATCGTGCGAAATTCCGAATGATCGCACGCAGTCCTTCACACGCGTACGTGAACAATTTGCTGGCCGCGTCCTCGTGTACATTATTAATCGTGGGTCTGCACTTCATATTCAGTCGAGAGACCTTCAATCATTGGACAGTAATGAGATGCGTTCAGGGGACGATCGCCGGTGTAGTCACAGTGTCAGCCGCAGCGAACGAGTATTCACCGCAAATAGCTATTGCCTTGGGTTGCCTGGGAGGTATCGTTTTTTATCTGGTCTCCAGACAGATTTTTCACAACTCCCTGGAAGATTACTGCAACGTGATAGCTATACACCTTGTTTGCGCGATTGTTGGTAGTGTCGTAGCGCCGTTTTGCACCCTCAACACCGACGAGGACATTGAAACGATATTGCTGAACTTCTCGTGGCAATTAATTTGCCTGATCGCATTGTTGGCCTTAGTTAGTGCAGCAATGTCGCTGATCTTCGGCATGCTAAAATGCTGCGGCATACTTCGCAACAGATCGGAATGCCTGAATCACGAACGAGCTAACGCGGCCGTTCAGAGAGGCCCGCCGAGATCGTTTTTGCAGAGACTTTTCTTTCCTGACAGCGGTTGTCTCTACCTGCAACCGAGCTCGACTTCCGCAACAAGAAACGATCCGAGCATTGGTTCTAGATTTCGACAGTATCAGACGGAGATAGATAAACTCGAAGAAGGAAGATCTACCGCCGTGACTAAACCGAATCCCAGTGTCAAAATCGAAGAAACTGTCACGAGGGTTCAACCTACAGAAACAAGAGTGAAAAAAGCGAGACAAGTGTATACTTTACCCGGCGGTTTTCCAGCGTCGATAGAAAACAAAGGTGGTACCGGTGAATCGATCAACAACAATCTTTTGGAAATCGAAAGAAAACAAGTTCTTGGAAGAGAAATAAAGTGTATCTTGGATCCTATCGAGGAACTAGACGAAGAGATGTCACAAGAACTCGGGGAAAGTGAAGTTCAATGTGATATCGAACGTTACAATGCTGGAGACAATATCTTGAAAACGGAATCTTTTAAGTTTACAGGCTTAAGCGATTTGAATGAATCGAGTTATCAGCTTCGAAGAACGGTGAAATTAATGAACTTGCATCACGAATTTATCAAGGACGAATTGAAAGTTGTGCTAGAACCGAAACGTATAGATTCTTCGTCTAGCGATTCGTGCGACGAGGACATCGTTTTTGCAAGGCCACCTAATTTGAACGAATCTATAAAGGATATTGTAACGTACAATCATTCCATTATGGAAACTAATCTCGAGTTATCACAATGTTGACTCAATGTTGACTTTTCACTGCGTGAAAATATATATGTTTATAACATAAAAACAAAACAGCAACATAGTCGGATCAAGTTTTTGAAACTGGAAGAACTAAGAACAATGTGTAGCTTCGAACACAATAATTTCAAATATTTTCACTGTGATACGCTATTGCGCTATATTATATTATAGCGTTTCAAAACTTTTCTATTTCTAGTCCCAAAAATACACACGCAACAGTACAATAGATGTACCTGAAAACAATAAAAAAACTTATATGTATCATAAAATAACTATAAATAAAACGTGACTGTTTTAAAAATAAAACAACAATATAATTCGATGTGATATGTGTGTACTAGACAAAAAATGTTTTACATTGCGTTATTTCCGTAAATTGTCACAATTTGCTTAAGATTTTTAGTATTTCTTTTATTAGAACTTACAGACTATTCTCTCATACAGTTATTACAGTATTTTACAATAGGATAATTTAAATAATCAAAGTTCCTATTAAAGTGTCGTACACACATTCTACGCGCGGTTTTGTTTTTATTCGCACAACAATGGCATCTTTTGCTGCGTGACAGTCTATCTTGAAACAAAATTATTTACAAGAATGCTCACCACTTCTGTGCGTTTATATGCGGACAAATGCGAACCCGCGAAATTTGTGATAACAGTTTACACAATACTCCATTACTATTAACAAAGATTAATAATAATTGTTTCATCAACTGATCTATATAATCTTTTGTACTGTAAAGAATTGTGAAAGTAGGAAAAGTCAAATGTCATTTATCCTGTGACTTTTACATATTTGTCTTTCGTGTATATATATTATAATATATCGGTGATTCTCTGTGAACGCGTAAATTTCAACTCTCATTTTTGATAAAAAATAATTATTATTAAACTAACGGATAGCGATGAATTAGTTTTTTCATGCCATTTTAAGTCACCATTCGTAATATGAATACGTAACTATGCAATATAAAAAACTTATCTGTTTTTTTTTGTTTTTTATATTTTATATTTTATTAATATACCATGGGGATTACAGTCCACGGAGATCACGTTTTTTGAGAATTGCCCATATATATTATAATATATATCATACATGTATATATAGTATATATATATATATGTATATTTTTTATTATATGTATATATACTATATCTTATAGAAAGCGTGCATAGAATATAGAATTCAGCAATGAAGTAATGTCAGCTGTTAATCCATTTTGCATTTTCATATGATATTGTGATAAATTTCGCGGTGTTTATTACCTACTTTTGGTAGTCGTCAGGTTATTGTCAGGTAGTAGCAAGCTGGACAGACGCTGCTCTACCGCCATACCGAAAATTAAGAATTATTGACTGTGAAAATTTAATGCCGCAATATGCTACGTTACACATTAATCATAATCATATATACAACTTAATAAAATGGCACGATTCAATGAAACAGATCAATTGTTCAATATTATCATTAGCAATTACCATTAGAATACTGTCGCACCTGCACCGTACCTAGACTTTTGAACAAACAATGTTTTTCTTGTTTCATTTCACGCTTTATTTAACACACTGATAGTATAGCAAAGTTTTTCGTAAGAATAAAATTTTGTAAAAGTCATCAGTCTTTCAATCGGCACAAATGAAACAGTATTAACAATATAAACTTTGTACATGATCTTTTCTAAACATTATATGGCATTATAATTTTATAATTTTAACGGCAGTATACAATAAAAATGAAAACAAATCCTATACAAACGTAACAAAAACTTCTCTTTCAATATAGATATAACACGATCAAATAACTTTAATGTGTAAAAAAGTTGCATAATATAAGTAAAATAATAGATGTAATGATCTTGAAACTGTTAACAGAAACGTTTCTCTGCGTCCTGACGTTCGATTGCTCGTCGTTGAAAAACTCTTTTCTAAAACGGATCATATATAACACGCTTTTCTGTGTAAAAAGTATGGCAAGCAGGTTATTACACGCAGATAATCACGAGATCCTCGGATCTCATGAAAGTCGTTACAATGTACAGTTAGTTTGGTCACATAGACAATTACAGTATTATTAAACACGTTTGTACATACAGCTCACACGTTACTGGAGATAATATATATATGTATATCATATATATATATTCGGAATAAATGATAAATAAATAAAAAAGATATATGTATAATACAGTAATCAGATCTTCTTAATCGCTTTTCTGACCAGCAAACTCTCATTTCGGCTAGTTTAATGCATGTATTTTTTTTTCTGTGAGGTGTAGTAAAATAGATGTTACGTGTGAATATTTCCAAAAACGAGCAATTAGATATACACGTTTACTCTGTACATATCAAAGATGAAAAATATGCCCGAAAAATAATTTCGAAATGTCACTATGATCAATTTGTGTTGGACTTATCCGCTGAAAGATTAGTTCTAATCTATAGTTTTTACAACATTTATCAAATCCGTCATTTTTATCAATGTACAATACGCGACAAAATCCTAATTTCTCACATATACACGCATAATTTCATAGAACATGTCAGCGGATAATTTGTATATAGTATGTCAAATATAGACGTTCATCAATTTCTAATAGTTTTGAGTTTACAACTCTGATAATGTCAATTATTGCAAATAGGTGTGTGGTATGTTCATCAATTGTATCTGAGATTACATCTGAGATACGTCTGGTCTACCTATTTTGAGGTTTGCATTTATATGTTACATCTATATTAACATCAAACTATGAATGAATTACATCAATGTACAAACGGACGCGATCACACAGCTTTTGTTGGCGTTTTCGTCGCCAGTACCAAGAATAGTATTGTCAAAATATACATAGATTCCTCATCAACATCGTCATTATTATCAACCTTAAATGTTTTACATAACAAGACTCAATATACACTGTATCTCCGAGAACGTTGGTGGACTCTGGATAAAAGCTCGAAGCCCCGAAATTTTACGTGGACGATACGACAATTATTGTAAGACAAACAGTCGAAGAATAAATTTTCCAAAACAACACATACACAATGTAGACAAAATTTTGAAAAATTTTTTATCTTAATCTTTTACGATATTGTGTTCTATCAAAAAAAAGAAAGAAAAATTTTTGTTTACATATGTACGTTTTTTATATCATTACGTTTAATAATAATTTCAAAGTCTTTTTTTGGAACGATATAATTTACTTTTAAAGTAAATTTTAATTCTCTGAATGTGCGAAGCACGCACATTGCTCGAATTATCTTTGGCCCAACATATGTGTTGATAAAAAGGACAAAAAGTGCCTAATCACATATTACTGAACAATGGCACCAGTGAGCAAATTAAATGTTCCTAATGTCCTTGATTTCTACAACGCAATAACGATGATAATAATGACAGTAATAAAACACCGTATTAAAAAATTATTATAAGAATAGTAATATAAAAGTAAAGTTAAAAATTTACTGATATTTTTTGAAAGCTTAACAATAGTCGGCAATTATAACTGTGGCTTCACAAAGCCGCTTAGTGACTAGCTTCTGCAGGCTTTCCATTTAGAGTTTAGGCCAGTCCACTGAGATAGGCCAGCATGGTCCTTTCCTCTGAAGATGTAGAATTCAGTGGAGTTACGAATGTACAATTAATTTACAGGTCTTCCGCTAGCAAATGATGTATTTCGCTGATAGCGGAAGCGAGCAGTCGGGAAACATTTATGTTTCACGTAATCGGCGTTTGCTAGGTCATCACCGTATCTGTGAGATCTTCCTTCAGCCATTGCGGAATTGTTCTGGACCCAAGTCGTTTCAATAATTTTACTAAAGCTGTGTTGTGGGACAAGTAATATCTCTGCAAAAAATACAGCGGTTAAAATACAAATGTTATAATTTCCTTTACATGCAAAAGCCAATGTAAAAAAAATATATACAACCAGAAAACATTACCTGCAATAATTTGTAAGATCTGTCTTCCATCGGCGGATATTGACGACCTTTACTTTTGCCGAGACACTTAGTGCGATCCTCGTTCGTCACTTGACAGAAAAAACCCTTTTTCGGATCGTATCTCAAATGCGAGGAGTAATTAAAAGCGGGTGTTATCTTTAAAAATCGCTGCAACTCGTGCATTGTTTCCACAGGATTCTGTCGCAACTGCTCGCCATCGATAATGTGCAATTGTTGCGGCAAGAAATGCGACAACCACCTCTCTAAATGTTGGGCGTACTTCCCAGGATTTAGACATCTGCAGTAAAATTAGGTTAAAATTTACTATAAATATTGTTTTGTTGCTTCTTTATATCACGTATATATACACATTTTATTAAAATTGTAAACGCGTATTACAATTAAGTTTTAACACATATACAACCAATTTGTCATTAGTTACCTATTTCTGAGGTCCCGTAGGGGTTTTGGTGCGGAATCGCTCGCCGTGATTACATCGTGGAAAGAGTAATTGTTCGCAATCGGGTCTCCGTGAACTCTGGTATGCTGGTACCATGAGTAAGCACGTCTGGCTGGAGACAGCAATATAGTGATCAGCTTAGCTTTTGGCAAGAGTGCATGTACCCTTCGAGGTACCAATTCTCCATCGAAGTAAGTAGCGGATTTCTCGAAGAAATATCGGGAGCTCTCGTTTTTTGAAGCTGGGAAGAAACTCATATACCTAAAAAACAAAGCAATATGAATTGTATATTCTTTTACATTGTAACAATAGTCACAGCAATGCCGGTTATATACCAATCGAGTCCTTTGTAATAATTCTTTCCGTTAAAAAACTGTATCTCTTCGAAAGTATCAGGACTTGGCAAATTGCTGCTTATTGCTGGATGAATAGATAGGAACGTATACAGCGCAGTGGTGCCGGTTTTTTGCGGTCCAATTACTAGAAACCTCGGTAATTGGTCGCAAGTTTTATTTCGGGACCAGATCTTTTGATGTCTCTGATCATCACACGGATTCTGTAACAAAAAACATTAATTAATAACGTGAAGCTTGTAAAAGCTGTAACTTTTACATCAGATTAGTTAGAGTTTAATTATAAATGCAATTTACTTACTCCCCACACCGGATCGGCTTCCTCGGGATATAACTGAAAATAACGTTCCGCAAGCTCAAGCGGCGGCGCACTGGACAGTTTTAAATTTGTCCAACATTGAATGAATTTTATAACCGATTCGAAAGTGTACAACGCCAGTCGATCGTTTCCATAATTCGACATATGCGTCATAAAAATATTTATCTGAAAAAACAATACACACAATCACATAAGTCACTTAAATAATATTTATTTATTTATTTTTCAAATTAATACCTGATAACAGTTAATTTTTACTCACTGGATTGTATACAATCGTTTGAAAAAGTTCACCGCCCTGTATCGACTCGTCTAGCTTCTCTCTTCCGCCTGGGTACCTCTCGATAAAAATTGTGTGAGTAAAAAGACCACAAGTTTGCCTCGGTAGGACCTCGAATAAAAAAAGGAAATATTTTTATCTCTGTATGTATTTAATTATTATTTATTTCAACATGTGCTTCATTTATTTGAATTAAGTACGGTTCACACACGTTAGCGCGAACCAAACTTAATTTCGCCGCAAGCGTTTTGTCAGAAGACGATATTTTATTACAGTATTACCTTGCTGCAATAAAGTACCGCTTTTTACCGAAACTGCCGCGAGTTGAGTCGCGTAACAGCAAAATATATATCATTCCAGGAAAAACTCAGTAAAAATATAAAACAAGTTAAATAAAATACACTTTCCAATAATATACCTTTCTTTCAGTAATAAACATTTAATTTTTAGCGAAAGTTTGTAGGTACGATTTACATACACGTCATGTAAATAAAACAACACAATCCTGCGTTTCGCGTACATATCATCCATAAATAAACAAGTGCGCAATTAATTATTGATAGAAGTTTACGACCGATTACGAGTTTAATATTTATGCAAATTAGCGCGCAGTAAAATCGAGATTTTCGGAAATTGCGGTTGAAACTAATATACAATTGCGGCGCATAATCGATAAAATTAACATTTTCAATATGTTTACGCGCAAAATCGTATGTCAATATTACTTAATTCAAGACAAGCTTGATGAATATCGAGCGGTGTGACTTATATATGTGTATGTATACCATAATGTTACGATGAATGAAGCCGCGTCTCAAACGTGCCGGCCTCAAGTGCGGATACTCTTCAGTACTCGTGACCTTGATGTTCCATATCCGCTTCCATGCTTCGTAGAGGCCTTCATGGACCGGGTAAACGCCGGAGTGATGCGGACTTACGCTGTATCCGCTTCCGGTCGGTATACCATGGTCCTTTGCGAATTGCTTGTTCAGCGCCATATCCAGTTGTAGATGAGTTACATTCTGGTACAGATGTGGTTGTTGATGATTCCACATGTGGGAAAACCACGTAAATCTAAAAAAGATTGTGATGATCGCGTGATATTTCGCATCAATTTACAAAAAGACATATATAAACAAAAAGCTATATACAAAAACTAAATTTTTACAAAAAATGTTTTTAACGTGTTAGAAAATATTTATATAATCGCTCGTATTTCCGCTTCAAAGGTTGCAATTAATTGATGTAAATGAGGTTGTGTAATGTTTTGTCGTGGCGCGACTATAGCTGTAGTATTATAATAAACTGTTGCATGACGTATGATAAAAGCTCTATATCTATACACAGTGCGATAGGTGAGACTATAAATTTAGTTTATATTATGCGCACTCTCTGTACATGTAACATAATAACAAATTTGATTAATGACATGCACTAATGCACGTCACAATTATCTATATTTACGGGGATGCAAATATTTCCGAGATTAATGACGTATTAAATACATATATAATCTAGTATAGTGAATATTTCTATGCGCGCGAAACACACAACATGTAATATTTATACTGCGTTTACCGCAGTTTCAAACGACAAATATTTCTATAATGTCATACTTGTTTGAGTTCTTCAGAAGCATGTCGTCTCCCAAATTCTCCATTGCCGTTCCGTGATGAAAATATTTTCCGGAAAACCCCAAATTGAATTTGAACCCCGGTACCAGTGCTTGTATTCTCTCCTGAGTAGCCAGCAACGCCATTACGTCGTCTCTTTTCAACCTGGTGCCCTTCTCGCCAACAAATATATCGTCGATGTCCACCAAAATCATACGATTTAAGCTGAGACTCAATTGTCCGTGCGACAAATAGGACAACGAGTCTAGAAGTAGCAACTTGTGCAGCCAGAATCGCAGTCCGCCGCCGAAAAGAACTCTCTCAATTCCATCGTATCTGCCATGATCCTATTAAATAAATATATACTTTATAAACATTCTCTGAATCTCTCTCTCTCTCTCTCTCATCTAACAAAAAATTTAATTCATCAACTAATCCATCGATATAAAACGGTATGTACATAATTCGTGGATCGAAACTGTTTGCTCTGTTCTGCATGGTGAATATATCCTGCCCAACACATAATTGAACAATCCGATAATGCACCAATGTTTAATCCGTAACCCCAATTTCTCCTCCCGATATTCCCAGAACGTAGCGCCGGCTGTTTGCCTCTTAGCTATTTATTTGTAAACGCGAGAATTTCGAAAACACCCCCGTCTACGCGAAAGCACAGTCGGTAGTCTCGGCGTAATCATTGCGCGTTAACGAGCATCGTTATTTTTCTTTTAATGGACGAAGAGGAGAACACAACGCGTACGGCAGCACGACGAGTAATCGCGAACGTCCGACGTGTTAATTGCATTGTTCGACAGAAACTCCCCGGCAACTCCGCGCAAGCTTCGACTATGAACCGAGCTTGTTAGCAGTAAACAACAATAATAATCTCACGGATAATTCCATCGTGCGAGAGAGCGGACGTAGATACGCGGATCGCGCAGGTAGAGCCAGCTGATTAAATCAGGAGCCAATCAGCCGTAAGCTCATTCGATTAATGAGCGACTGCGCGGCGCGCTTCATTTGCTGCCATTTGAGCCGCCAATTTATTTCGTTTCGGAGCTCCGCTCCTCGAACAGGTCAAACACTAACGGCTCCGACGGTTGCAACGCGGAGAGAAGAGAATGATGAGCGGAAAGGGCTGTCGGGATATTTACGGACCGCTCCCGAATGTGAAATGCGCTCCCAGTGATAAAACCAGCTATGGGAATAGCGCATGACGCATGAGAGACGTCAAAGAGAGCTTTTCCAAGTTTACCCCATTATTTACGACGGACAAAATTCACCGACCAATTAAACGAAGAATTCGAATGCCGGGCGAGGTCGTTGTATTTTTTTTTTTTTTTTTTTGCCTCATCCTGCTATTGTCCTGTTATATACTGTAAAGATTCGATTCACGGCACGCCGCAAGGCACTTCTATTTAAAGGATTTTACTATTCGACCATTCACAATTCGTTGAATAGGACTATTCAAAATTCGTATTCGCCGCTTAACGAAGGTCATTAACTAATTGGAGCTCCTGCTCGACAAAAACAGTCAATCAATAGCTTTTTTTTGCCGATATATTCGTATTAAGTCTAAATTTCTGCACATAGGAATTGAAAAGGAAAATATAAATCATGTTTTATTTGTTATTGAATAGTACAATAAGACATATACGTTTTAAGATAAGATAAATAACTGTTCATTACATGAGAAAATTAGCAAAACATTTTTACGGTTATTTCATAAGTTACATTTAATCTGCTGGTCGATGGAGAGTCGCGAAACGATCAAGTGCAAAATATACATTCTGAATCGAAACATCAATATATGGTGCATTCACATTTTTTTTCGTTATATCCGCTGATATCTCGCGTGTTTGCCGTGATATTTGACGTATATGAGCGCTGTTTCTTTTATATCATTTGCAATTCGTCGCCTCTTTTGGCTGTTTGCATCTCCGCATTCTATCGTCCTATCGTCTCTTCCTCATCTTCTCATCTTCTCTTCCTCTCTCTCTCTCTCTCTCTCTCTCTCTCTCTCTCTCTCTCTCTTTCATGTTATGTCCGGAATCTTGCAGTGAATTTCTGCACAAATGTAAACGCTGGCCAGGACGGCTTTACGAATTGTTTCAGTTTACCTCCGCCAACAGCGGATCTTTTCTACTTCGCCGTTTCGCTTTTTTCCTGTCTCTGTCCTTTTCCTCCTATTGCCTCGTCCCTTTTTCTTTGCACTCCCTGTTTTTCTCTTTCTCTTTATCTCACCTTCGTATATACTTTGTGGCTACGAACCGTATCGCGGAAATTCCACATTTGTTTTCGTTTTCCGGCGCTACTGCTGGCAGTCAGGACAGAACAGGAAGAATCACCGGGATGGGAGAAACGGCAGAAAGAAAAACGTAGGAATAAGAAAGTTGCGTGCAACATTTGTGGTTTCTATTACTACAAAATTGATCGATGATAAAGTCGTACAAAGAAACATACATGTGCTTCTGTTATGCGAAAAAGATAATAAGCTTATTTAGATTTTTGTATTTGCAATCAATAAACAAATTAGAGTTTGTATAAATTCATAAACAGATATTTTGTTACACTCAATACTTTGTCATTAATATCATTACTACATTTTAAATACACTTTAAAAAGAAATGTACATTTTTAAAAATAAAAGTAATAATATAAAAGCTATATTTTTAATATTAAGTTATTTATTGATTTAATATTAAAAACGTATATCTTAGTATTAAACTTTTCTTTTTTGAATACTTCTATATATATTATATTATTCTTATAATAATTACAAGTACTTTACTAACATAAATTTATACATAACAGTGATCATTTATATTTAAATGACATTATTAATAGTTTAATGCATATGAATCTAACTTGCGGAAAATATAACGTAGGTCCCTGTGGTCAACCGGTCAAGAGCAGTGGTCAGTAAGCGGAGGATCGAGAGCGAGGTTCGAGTCCCGGTCAGTCGTCGTTGGAGAAACTCTTCTTTCGCAGCTTCTTATTGATTCTAACAATTTATGTTTGTCTTAGCTTACGGGGAGGTGTTATCACCCCCCCACAAACAAAAATTATAATGCCTAATCACATCACTAGATGTATTAGCAGATAGGACATTATATCAACTATCTGGGGTACCGCCTTCTTGATCACGGTATCTCCGCATCTTAAGTAAAATTTGATAGTAAATTATTTTTGCTTTGCCTTTATATAATGCCAAATCTACAATTTTGCTATCGAGAAAGTAGATATTGTTTCTGTGTATTTCCATCTAGTGGTGAAAATCATAAATAAAGTAATATACACGTGTTTGTATGTGTAGGTATGTAATAAAGAAGGAAATTGTGTGTATGTGTGTGTATAGAGAATTGTTTTCGTATTCATTCCGTGTGAAGTATACCTCGAGAAGGTATATAATATTCCGTAAACGGAAACAAATATAGTATTCTGGGTTTACATTTTTCGTGTCAGTTTAGTTGAAAAAGTAAAATTATATTTTGTACAAATGTATTATTTCAACCACAAAAGAATAAAATTATAATACTTTTATATAAAATAAATATATATAGAGAGAGAGAGAGTATTTTTTTTAACCGTTTGAAATACTTACAATAAAATTATAAATATTTGAGCAAGGTAATATGCTTTTTTTTAAATAGAAATCCTATTTTTGTTAACAAGATATAGTAAAAACATATATAGTTAAACACATATATATGTATATAAATAAATAAATAAATAATATATATATATAACAAACAGTAATCAATCTCAAAAGATCATTAAAAAATCTGCCATTTAGTAAATATTTAAATATCATCAAATTACTCAAAATAATACAAGAGATAATAGCTTGTAACAAAAATAATGCAATAAAATTTCGCAATTACTCAGTGCTGGAAACACAAAATCTTATTACATTGGCTAAGGATTAACGTAGAAACAAAAATTTCTCTCTTCTTATCGCGCAACATTCGAGAGTGTCTGTAGAAGACTTTTCTTTTTTGCACAAGCGCGCGCGGGATGAAATCACACTGTGCCTATTGTTCGCCCTTCTTTTGTTCTACCCCTTGCTGCGAGAATCTTACACAGCCACTCAGCTTCTTGTTTCTCGCCCCTTCTTTCCGCTCCGATCGTCTTTCTTCTTTTCTTTCCCTTCGTTATACGTAACCGCAAAGTGAAGTGGAATATCAGGGAAATTTCGCGTGTCAGGCCAATTTTTTTTTTCGGCGCCACGGTCAAGAATCACGTAAGAGTAAGAAATCGCTCTTTGAAGATGCCCGCCTTAGCGCAAAAAAAAGATAAGTGCATAAGCGACGCATCTTAAGGAGAATTCACTTTTAGAATAGCGTCGTAACGGCTTCGTTTGTACGTTCATTCGCTCTGAATTTCTTACCGACGTAAGAGAAGTCTAGAATCGCCATTCAAAATTATCGTACCCGATTTGAGCTAATACGAAATGTTGAGCATAATTCGCGAATTCCTTTTCTTTCTTGCCATTTTCACGGAAATTTAGTTTTGTGTACTTTCTCAGAGCGGGAAATTATGTCTCGAGGAAATTCCGCGTGCGTTTTTGTTATTTTCTTTCTCTCTCTTTTTTTTTTTTTAAATTATTCTCGTATCCAAGAAGATGCAAGCCGAGTGCAGCGAGCCGCACGAGTTAATAAGGTATGCCCAAAGGATGCGCTCGAAGCTTTATGTAAGTATAATGGGGATTGAGATTTAAAGCTGATGTTCCCCCCAAGATGATGTAACTTTGACTGAATAGAACATTGCGAGTTCACCACGATGTTTGTTACAGAACTATCTTATTCTTGAAATTTTGCCGAACAAACTTTTATTAACGAGAAGAATTTTCAACGCAGCCGCGTTAAATTCAACACGTGCGCGAACAAGGAAAAATGATCTAAAGGAAAATGACTTTTCTTGTTCGTCGGCAGTACGCATAGACGCGCCGAGACCAGTGCATTAATTCCGCGCGGTCGTTCGAGTTTTGTCTGTAAGGAAACACATACGTGACCGGAATGTCCAGCAAGTAGAGAGTGAACGACTCACTTGAATGACGGTGGCCAGGGGACTTTTGTTGGCCGGATAGTCGTCGAGGCTGTCTCGATGCGCCCAAGCGAGCGGCTCGTAGGTGCTGTGATTGGCCTGAAAAATAGTCCAGTCACCGCCAGGAAGTGGTCCCCAGGCCGTTTCCCCCGCTCTGGTTAATCGAAGAATGGGAGACGCCGCATTCAGCTGAGCATCCTGAGGGAAGAAAAGAGACGACCTGATTCTATGCGGCCCGGCACAAAAGTTGTGCGCCGCCCATCGTGCCGGAGTCCCTCCGCTTTTCCGTAGAGAAATCAAATTTTCAGGCGTATCACGCGCGTTTTAATGCATTGTTAAAAGAAAATTGCCGCTCAGGGCCGAGACGCCGGCACGACGGGAAAACGCGGTTATATATTCAGAATGTCACGTGCAATAATATGGTCTCTCTACAAGAGACTGAGATATAATAACGTGATTGCGATATTACGTGGAAAATAATATTATTCACGTAAGCTAAACAAATATAACAAAACGAGTAAATAAAAAACAATTCATCCGCGAGAAAATTGTTTAAAATATTTACAGAATAAATATGTTTAAACACACATTGTATTTTTTTATGCTTGGTTACGTTCTTGAATAAAAAGAAGTAGTACGCGTTTCTTTTTTTGTTTAATGTTTTTACAGTTCATATTTGATAAAAATGTGAACTTGTAAAATCAGCTAGTTAAACTCGTCAAAAAATGTAATAAAAATAAATGATACGATCGCGTTACAGAGTTTTGCGTGATACTCGAAAAGTATAATGATGTATTTTTCATACTACCCTGCTGCTCGATGAGCATGCATAACATTAATTTCGCGAACTCTCTACTCTCTTCATGAATAGCGTGATTATTACTTGCGAGACATGCCGTGCGTCCAAGGCACGATCAATGCTGCGAAGTTTGAAGAAAGTTCCAACTTCACGCTACGAACGTTACGGTAATAAGAAGATGCAGATGACTGATATCGCAAAATGAAATACATGAGCTATTAAAATGAGTTAGGAGACTGTACGGTTATATAGCGTACGGAATTAGCACGAAATGGATCCGGAACTGTATTTTCCAAGAAAAAGAAACCATACTGTCTGTCCCATTATTGCGACTAGTCCTAATGTTACGTGAGAGATAGCATTTTTTATTACTTCCTTTTACGAGAGTTTCTTCCTCGTTTCAATACCGCGATATAAACTTGATTGCAGTCATGAAAATTGCCACTCAAACTTTTTCTATGTGATCACGGCTATTTCGAGTAAATTTTAATAATACCAAGAAAAAAAACATTTCTTGTCACACGAAACAAATAAAAATATTTTTTTGTTTTAATTCTTATATATGTTTTTCATTGTTGACAAAAAACTAACGTAAGAAAACTAACGTAGAGAAATTTAATGTAAAAAGTATATTATACATAAAGAAATATGTAAAAATGTAATGTATGTTTATTAAGCAAATTCATAAGTTTTCAAATTTTGTTATTACTAAAACGTCGCTCATAAAACATTATAAGTAATATAAGTAATAAATGTTGTAGAGCGTGAACATACACAAACTTACCTTCAACCTAAGATTTGTGTGTATAAAAAGTGGAAAGCCCTTGAGCTGAGCACCAACCAGACTCTCTTCTCCGGGAGGAGCAAAACCCACGATGCCAACCGAATATTCTCTGCAATACTTGTCCAGCAGCTCGCGATTCCATTTGTCCATATGCAGGTACTTGTTTAAATTCTCGAAGATGAGCACTCCATACCGACCTTTATCAAGATTTGTTAACACAGGTAAAGACTTGCCAGTCACCTCCACTTTGTACCTAAAAACATACAGAATAGTTTTTCTTCATTTAATATACTCCGTAAAATTGTAAACTTAAAGTCATGTTTTAAGAAAATAGGTTTTTTTCTTTTTCTAAAATTATAAAAACTACGTATGTTTATAAATTTTTTTTTTAATGTGAATTTTTTTAAAATGTGAATAAAGATTTGCAGTTACAAACTTTTATATAGCGCGAATATTGTATCTGTAATATAAAATTCAAATAAAATTGTAATGTAAACGTTATAACACCGCTCGCGAGAAAGTACTTAATTTTTACGAATACGCGGTAACGTTTCGCATTCACAGTTTCCGGATGCCATTAAAACTGCAAGCGACGTATATTCTGCTAATCGGTTCCGAGTCTCTTTACTTAAGAATAGAACATAGAGGGAGAACGTAGACTTTTGCAAACTCCACTTAGGTTCGCATTATTCTTACCGAGATTATATATAAGGCAAGCGCCTTGCGCTCCGGAGTTAACGTGTTCTTTAAAACAGAATAAATTTCTCCGTCCTTCACTCTACGTCTTTCTTCCGCCGCCTCCGCGGTAGCCGATACTTTATGCGGTTTCTTTCTCCCGCGTTTTCTGCCAGCGCAAATATTTAGACGCGAGCGCTACTCGTGCGTGATACAGCCGTCAACGTGTGTTTTGACAATTTCAATCCGATGGTATATGTATCGGATGTTCAAAATGGGGAGGGAGCCGTAGTAAATAGAAGTAAAATGGAATATCAATAAAAAGAAGTCCGACGAAGACTGCCGGTTATTGTTAAACGATAAAACTGAGACACTTTATATCGAAATTCCATTTATGTAGCATTCAAAATGTTACGCGAATATAATAAAGCAATTACACTATGATACACACCCTCTCGACATCGTGATATTCAAGAGATTTATTGCGCATTCTTGTTTTTTTTTTTTTTTTTTGTATAAAAATTGCACATTCCAAAACGCCATGACAGGCGCGCGTCCTCCGGGCGTGTTTTACCCTTATCTGAATTTTTTATTTCCACCGTATCCTCTCTATCCCTATCGCAAAAAAAAAGGATCGACAGGCCATACTTCTGTCCCGCGCGCGATAAAATGATTTTATTGCGGAAATAAACCGGCGAGGCTTCTCTCGTCGATCGTACCGATGGATTTCTCTCATATCCTGTCGCGCCGTAAAGAGATGGCGTGGATATCAAATTTATTGGAGATGCACTCCGATTCGAGAGAGAGAGAGAAAGAGAGAGAGAGAGAGAGAGAGAGAGAGAGAGAGAGAGAGGGAGAAAGGGAGGAGAGAAAAAAGGTAGAAAGACATATACGCTCTCTGCCGATTGTAAGTCTGTGTTCGATTTTTTAGCAGATTTCGGAGAATGGAAAGCGTGTTTCGCTCGTAAAGTCGCGATGAAATAAATATTCAACAAACGAAGTTGGGCTATCTATTATTTGTAGCATATCGAGACTAACACCAAAATTTATTACTCTCAAGTGAATCATTCCGTTCGTTTACTTTAGCCGGTAGTAGCTCAAGCTCGTGATTATCATGTCAAATCATCGGCAACAAAGTGCGATGAATAGTGAGAAAAAAGCAAAAGAATATAAATAGTAAATATATATCATATTATACTGTATGATATATATTTACCATTTATATTCTTTTTTTAATATAATACGCAAAAGTTAATAATAAATATTTTGATTAAATCTGGAAAACTTCGGATAAAACAATATTATATATTAGCAAATAGTCCGGACAATATAAAGTTTCGATAAATGGAGAGAAACAATGCGGACGTGGTCAAACCACTATTCGCGTAACATTGCTATTAAAAAAATGGCAAACAATATCTAGAGAGTGCAACAAACAGTTGTAGAATTTTGTATGCAGACGTAGATGCAACTAAAAACTCGCTGGGTTCACGCAGATCAATATCAACCATACAGTTGCGCGCGTATTTGATGTACAGAACTGTTGATTTTAGTATCGAATCTCATTGTAAATAGTATCGGATAGTCTTGCTTCCGATGTAACAAGCGCTATGGTTGTAGTCCTTGCGGTTAATTCACCGGTTTCGCCCACAGGGAGGATAAATAACATCAGCGTGGCGTGACTACACGGCGGCAATATCGACGATAGTCGTTGAATAGAGTTAAGAACCAAGAGTAATCCGGTCAATCTAATAGTTTTATAATCAGATGACAGTTTATTGAGTTACGCGCGCCGTTTAGCCAACTTTATTTTCGCGTTAACGGATTGTGTCGATGTTTTGCACCCGCCAGACGATTCGGTGTGCGCGCGGGACGACAGAAAATTCAAGTTAACTAATGAATGTCGGATAATTTACCGACGTAATCGATTCGATAATTGGTAACCGCCCATTAACGGCGAGTTAGCCAATTTACGGGGCTAACGAACTGTCATAACGAACCACCCCCTTCCCACCCCCGATGCGGCTCTTTTGTTCTTCGGCTAACAATTGAGAGCTCGGTTGGCCGCGCGCGCACACGTCACGCGAAGAATCCGAAAGCGAAATTCAGAAGTATCGATCGACAGTCACTCTACACGCACATCCACACACACATATACGCGGTACCCCAATCGCGAAACGATGAAAGGCGCGCGTACGTGCCGGGGATGATACCGGGGATTTCGAAATTTGTACACGACGCCGACAGTTTCGTTAATTACATTTCGAAGTTCGCGTCTTTAAAAGTTCACCCCACTTCTGCGCGACAGGGAAACTTTCCTGTCCTTTTTCCGATCCCGACGGCGTAGATTGAATTAAGTTTAATTAATACCGGAGTGGAAGATAAAATTGACGCGCTCGTCACACACACACATACACACACATATACACACAGCGCCCCGATATATCGCGTCGTGCTGAATATATAATGTAGTCGAATGGCGTTATTGACCCGGAACGAGATCGGCGTTATCGGACGCTTTCGTTTTCTAAGCACGCTATATCGACTTAAAATGCGTTATATCCGATGTTCTATGTACAAGAAGTTTTTCTCTTTTATATAAAACTGTAAAAATCTTCTAATATTGAAACTGTGAGATTTTATCATTCGCGATAAGAATAAAAACTAATTGAGCGAATATTATGTTAAAATGTGCGTATAATTCACAGGAAATCGCAAAATGGATATTACTGACACAAAGTGTGTCGCGCGATCAAAATCATAACGGCATAATAGACCACAAATACGTTTCCGTTAAAGAGAATAATTTAATTAGATGAATTAAATGACAGGATCGCGGATAACCACAGCGTATGCGAATTTAGCACAGAAAGGCAATCACAGATTGTTCATGGCAATTATCTCTTTCTCTTTTTTTCCCTCTCTCTCTCTCTCTCTCTCTCTCTCTCTTTCTCTCTCTCTTTTGTCCTTCTTTTTTGTGAGTTATTACGTCAAATCAAAACGTTAAGAGACGAGACTTTTTGAGATTCACGTTCATGTACGCAACATCGAAAAGCAACGGTAGTTTCTCCCTAGGGAGAAATAATTTACCCCCGGGGCGTGTTCCAAAGAAGTCGTACTCGGCTCGTAAATTTCTTGGCCGACGCGTCGCGTGCCACCCTCCGGTCTGCTATCGTTACTCTTCTCATTCTGTGAGCCAGTCGCCGCGCACTCCCGCGAACGAAAAAACTCGCAAAAGCGACACCGGGGAGAGTTCCCGGGGAAAACAACTTCATAATTTTCAGGAAAACCTTTCCGATTTGGCATACGCGTGGGTCAACGACGCGCGAGGGAGGGCGGGTTTCAACGACCGACAGGCTCATTACTTCCGCTGCCGGGTGGCAGGATCGCCTCCTTCTCGGACTCGTTTCGCTTTATGCCACCGGGCGAAACTTTTTAAATTGCTCCTTGAATTAAATTACGGCGCATAGTTGACGCAAATTGGAGCAAAGGCGCGGACGACGTTCACAATGATAACACGACAGTTGCGCAACGCTTCACAAAGGCGCGGATCTTGAAGTAGAGCAGTAACACATAAATTTCAAGAATTCATGAAGAATGCCGGGAAAATTTTGTACACCAGACAAAAGAAGTGATAAATTCATGGGCGGCGTTATTAAAGCTGTGTATGTGAAAATATGAACAATTTGTGAAAAAATTCGAGTTCACTCTCATTCGAATGAATTCGACGCATTATTTGCGTACTACGCTAAATATAGCTTGCGAAATATGTATGCTGTAATAAATACACGTTGTTTGCTCTCTCAATGTAAAAATATATTAAAAAACGACACTTAAGAATATTACTTTGTGAAAAATTAACCGGCAAATGCCATGTGTAGGATCGTGATATACGCGGACGAAACTATTTCTTAATGTCCCCTCAACTTTCTTAATCTCGGAAGTTGCGCGCCGCAATCTGCAGTAGATCTGCAACGGGATTGCCGAGGAATCCTCCAGTTTTGCACATGTGCTTTTCACCGGATGTTACGAGACGACGACGACGACGGCGACGACAACGACGACGACGACGGTGTGCGGTGGCCGAGTGAGTGTTTTTCCTCTCAGGCGCGGGATGTTTCTCTCAAAAATAAATGTCTGAAGTTCTTCCCGCGTCTCTCTCGGCGTGCCGCCGTCGGAGTAGTTTTCGTTGAAGATTTACAAGGACGGCGACACGTTAGCATTGCAAAATATTGAATTAATCCGGCGCTCGCGGACTTCCTGAATCTTTCATTCCTCGCTGCCGGTGTTTTCGCACCTCCGGATTTAAAGCGAGAGTCGGCTTTTACCTTTCTACCCGGCTCTCGCGAAAAAGTAAAAGAAGCTGCGATTACAATAAACGAGCGGACGCGTAAGCCAGTAACTAAACAGAAAAATACAGGATACCGTGCAAAAATAAAAAAGAAAAAAAAAAGTATAATAGCACGAAAGAACCGTTCCGTTCGTTACGCGTTATAAATTGCTGTTTACCGAGACAATCCGCCAACGGAACGGAAACACCACCCGAGACATAGCAAATCATTACGTACGGCAACTGTA